AAATAAAAAAACGTTCATGCCCCGCATTCCAATGCTGGAGCAGGAAAGCTTGAAATACCTACCAAAACACTTGAATACAGACATACTGTCAGTATGAAAATGCTCTGTGCAGGTGTTAATCAAGTTATATTATAATTAAATCCCAACAGCCAATCAGCAAGAAATGCTCTGTGCAGGTGGAAATGCTCTGTGCAAGTGTTAATCAAGTTAAATCCCAACAGCCAATCAGCAAGAAGAATAGAGGAAAGCTGCATGCCTATTGGTTGATGCCCTGCATTCCATTGTGATGACTCATGCCCAAACGTGGTAAACAAGGCACACTAACACAGTAATACATTTGCTATAACACAGCCAAAAAACTCAAATAAAACCATTCTAAAAGCCTGTATCACAATAATTTAAAAAACGCCTAGGGGTATTTGCCCACTGTACCTCCATACCAAATTTCAGGACCTTGGGCCCTAAAATGAAGAAGCTGAATCCATTTAAAAAATGGCAGGAGAAGGAGAAGGAGAAGAAGAAACATCAGAAAAAGCAATATGGGTTCACCACCACTTCGTGGTGTGGTGAACCCATAACAAAAGACTTAGCAAAGCGGTTTGATGAAGCGGTCAATGGTCTTAGATTCAATTTGTTTCGAAGGTTGTACGAACATGTCGATACAATATTGGATGGGATTAGGTCATACAAATAACTACGAGAAGTACCGTGGATAATCTTGTAGAACAGCAACAGACGATGGATGTGTCTCCTGCCCAACCACGTTCTTTCCGAGTTAAGAAGTAAGAAGACCCTTTGACAGCACCTGATACAGTGAGTGCACATTGGTATTGAATTCTTTCTAGAAGTTGAGTTTCCGCCACTGTACAGTTGTGCCAAACGACATCTCCATATTCTAAACAAGGTCGAATAAATGTTTTGTACAACGTTTCCAAAACTTGTCGAGAAAGTTTGAATTTTAAACCCTTAAAAGTGACTAGACGTTTGGAAATTTTGGACACCATGTTGTTGATGTGAGGTTTCCAGGACATATTAAAGCTTAATGTAAGTCCTAGATGCTTATGGGAGGGGACAGACTTAATAATGAAATGAAATGATCTTTATTGCATATCCTTGCCCAGACGGGCTAAATGCATACATGCTTTGTCACAGTATAAAATACATGTGGTGCATACATACATAATGTATGTTTGAGTTCTATACTAGGATTCTAAGTACTACATAATTCTTAAAGTTACTGTTTGTCTATTTTTTGGTTCTGGTTTCTTCTCTCTTCTTGAAACACTTATTGATATAATCACACACTTTTTCTACAATGTGTTCATTTCTGCTTGACATAAGATGTATAAATCTATTTTGCTTGGACAGTTTCTTATATTTCTTGTCTAAATCTAGTACATTAAATAACACCTTACGTTCATTTTCATATAAACTACAATCAAGTAAAAAGTGCGACTCGTTTTCTACATATAGATGATCACAGAATTCGCACGTCCTATCGTTCAGAGGGGTACGGTTGTGCCTACCGGATTCTATATGTAAGGGATGGTCACTTATACGAAGTTTGCACATGGTTTTTCGATGTTCGAAGTTTGTAATGTTTAAATATGTTTCTCTTTCATAGTTCAGTTTAAATGTTTTGTATGTTCTTAATTTGTTGCCTTGGTTGTCTCTTCGTCCTTCTGCTTGTAGTTCTGAGTAGAACTTTTGGATGTGGATATCTTTCAATCTCTGTTTTAGTTCTTTTAGATGGGAGGGTGTGTTTAAGTGACCGTTTAAATACAGGTAGGCAAAACCGGACTCCTCTAACAGTTTCTTTACATCAGATAATAATACAGTTGTTTAAAAGAAGAGGTTGGTGTGCTGAGTTATCTTTTCTGGTTGAGAAACACTTTTCTTCTGTTTTGGCTGGGTTAAGTTCCATTAACCACTGAACAGCCCATGAATGAATTTTTCCAAATCAGCATTTAAACAGGCAGCTGAATAAAACGAATTATCAACAACATGAAGAAGAGAGCTGTCATCAGCAAAGAGAAATGGCTGGGAGATAAGATTATCCACGATGTCATTGATATACACCAAAAAGAATAAGGGGCCCAGAACTGACCCTTGTGGAACACCTGCAGTAACATTACACCAAGGAGAAGATATACCATCAATTGTTACTCTTTGAGATCTGTCACGAAGATAAGAATAGATCCAGTTTAAGAGAGGTCCTTCAATACCAAGTCTTTGTAGCTTGAATAATAAGCCGTTGTGCCACACCCTATCGAAGGCCCGAGAAAAATCGAGAAACACGGCACGAACTTCTTTTCCGGTGTCGAGGGCTTTCAAGATAATGTGACAAAAGTACGCTAGTTGACAAACTGTAGAATCGCCTCTAATGAAACCGGATTGAAGCCGATACAAAATATTGTGTTGTATTAGGTAATTATACAGGTGTTTATAAACTATTTTTCTAGGACCTTCGACAGGGTGGGAAGTAAGGACACAGGGCGGTAATTTCTTTTATCACTACGATCGCCCTTTTTAAAAATGGGTATTACGTTTGCATATTTCCATATCGTGGGAAAGTATCCATGTGACAAAGAAAGGTTAAAAACAAAACTAATTTTATCTGCTACCAATGGCGTAATTAATTTGAGAAAACGATTATCAACATTATCGTATCCATGTGACTTGTAAGTATCAAGTTCTTTCACATAGAGTTGAACTTCTTCAGGAGTGGTGGTAATGTGGAGTAAACGACCAGTGGTAAAATATTGAAATTCCGGCAGCGAAGCATTTGTTTCGTCTATGGAAGATTGAAAGACAAAGTATTCATTAAAAAGTAAAGCTTTCGCTGAGGAATCAACAACAAACGTACTACCTTCCTTTAAAGGAGGAATAGTGGTAGTTGCTTTGGGTCTGTAAAAGTGTTTCACCACGTGCCACCACTTTTTACCTGATAAAGAAGGATCACTTAGAGATTCTGACAGACGACTAAAATATTCAGACTTACGGGATGAGATAGCATTCGAAAGCTTGTTGCGGATTTTACGATAAGCGGCCCAATTTACCTGAGAATTAGATAACTTGGCCAATTTGTGAAATTTGTCGCGGGACCGCATTAGCTTACGGATATCATTTGTCATCCAGGGTTTGTCTTCTGGTCTGACCACTATGTTTTTACTTGGGACACAAAGGTGTTTAGCCTTAATGATGAGTTGACTTAATTTGTTTGCAGCGTCATCCACAGTGGGAAGTAAGAAAATACTGTTCCATTCCGAATCATTACAAAATTCAAACAATTTGTCATAATTAATACTAGAAAAATCCCACACAGTACGTACAAAAGGTTTAGGTATGTGACGAGTAAAGGACAAGGAACAAATAGTGGGGCAGTGATGGCATCGGGAGAGTGGTGAACAGACAGACACAGAATCAAAATAGTTAAAGGCGTCGGTAAATATGGGGTCGATAAGGGAGGGATTTCGTGAAAGGTCGCAGGTGGGCTCGTTAACAATTTGGATAAGATTTAAAAGCTGAGTAATTTGGTATAGTTCAGAGCCGATTGGGGAGGTAGTGTCCCGATGCCACCACCGCTCATGTTTTGCATTGAAATCTCCAACAATTATGATAGCGTCTGGGCGTGACATACCCGCCATCTGGACGGAATCGGTGAAGGAATTCAAAAAATCGTTAACAGAACGTGCGTCCTGGCCAGGCGGTCGGTAGTACACGGAAAGTAGAATCCTAAAAGACTGGATTCTGAGTTCAACCCAGATGGAAGGAGGACGAGCGCTTGATTGAACCCCAAACAGATACATACTTAACAAAATACAAAAGTAATAAACTCATTCAACATGAACCATCCGAGTACAAAAACAAAGTCAAAGTCAACAAAGTCAAAGCCGCCACAAAACCGGGCTTACATAATACTGGATGTGTCTATTGTCCCTGATGAGAAGACTTGAAGTAGTCGTCGGGGGTTGTGTAGGACTTGCCAGCAACGTAGAGAGTCATCGTCACTCCTCGGAGACGGAACTTGGGTTTTGCTCCCTTGGCCTTGGCGTGTTTATGTTTGATGTGTCTCCTGTCTGATAGTAATTCCCAACCAAGTTGTTTCATGCACGTATTTATATGCAATTTTCAGTATAGTTCATAAGACAAACTCAAATGAAGTAGCGGTTATTTGCGTTTTTCTGCGTGCAGCGATTCCCAGGGGTTACTTGAGGTCATACTTGGGCAGTGGCAGAGTAGTGAGGCCATCTTGCGGGAAATGTAACTTTT